GATGAAACGATCACACCATTTCTGATGATCCGAAGTCGTTTCTTTGTTGCTTCTGAAGCTTGCTTATCTCCACCCTTTATTATGGAACCCCTCACGATCCTATACACAACAGGCGCACCACTGCAAATATGGTAAGCACCTAACCCAATCAACATCGTGAATGTTAAATATGTTGAAAAAGGCCATCTCTGGAGGGCGAGTGTAACATAGGATGCATTGATCATCGAGGAATCGCCAAAGTGACGTCTTGGAAGCACACGATGAATAAAAATATGATTGAAAATAAATGGAATTAGAAGATACCCAGCTAAATGATGAGATGGAAGTAACAACACTATAGCCCTTGATATATACGATCCGGTAATGGTCGTCGTAGTTTTTGTTGTGATCTTACGAATAACCACGCCCTGTTCATTTGTCTCATCAGTTACGATTTTTTCAACCTTTTCGTGGACTTCTCCAGTTAATTTACGTACATCTTGTTTCTTATATTTCCAATATAGTTTGATACCTCGTTTGATTAACCCTGAGATTATATGCCCCCAAATTGAACCAGCCACAACAATAGGCTCCAGAAAACTATTTTGGTAATACACCCTACCGAGAACGATCGTTTTATTAGTAAGTTCAATACCGCCGATGGTGGCTAAAGCCGTTGCACTCAAATGAGTAACTAGGAAGGTCGTAAAAACAGCTGCCGTACCAACTTGAACAAGGGTAAGGTAGCCGTAAATCTTTGACACCGTAACAATTGGAAAAGGGGGAGGATTATTATTGCTGTTGTTTGAAACTGGTTTGGAATGCGACATTGCGTTTTTAAGGATTTTTTTTTAAAAGTGAATAGTGTAAAATCGAAATTCGTTCTTTTTTTAATTTGTGCTTCTATAGAACGTAACTCTTGTTACGATCATACAAAACTCAATGTCGTGACTTGTGTGACCCTTTTGAGTAATTTAAGTTAATAAGGTGATTAGTGATAATCTGTTATATCGATATTGTTACGTATCGTGTCGTGATTACGATACAGTACGTATACATACCCACATTATATGCTTTGTTAGCATTGTTCTGAATATATATTATAATTACATACGTATAATATATTATGTCATATATTATATTTTAATAAACATATTATAACAATAAAATGTTGCTCAATGACGATAATTATTGCATTCTTGTTTTTTTCGCTATTTTCGTGAGGCTTGCCATGGTGGCTTAAATTTAAATATTTTCCTGCTGTGGCTGTGTTCAGTTAGATTCTGATCATAATGCATGATACGGCGTAACATTGAGGATTTGACAATATCTCACGAGATCTTTTAACAATTTCTCCGTACTCGCGATTTTTTTTTTTAGTTTTACTCGTCGTGTCACGATTTTATTCATCTTGTATATTCGATTTTGAAAGCTTTTCTTAATTGGAGTAGTCTTTAATCGTCATTAGCAGACTGATACAAGTAATTTATATTACTTAGTTGAAGTTTACGACGGTAGTCTAAAGATCTAAGGTTTTATCTATAATGTCAGATTATTCACCATACTATAACAATCAAGTATTTCATAAGCCTTGGGAAAATCAAAATATGCCACCAGCTCAAGATTTAGGAAGTTACGATTCCGCTGCTTCAACCTCAGTAACAAATCCTCGTGTAAATAATTGGGTGAACGTGAATGGTAGCGGTAATTATCCTCAAGGGTACTTAAATGGTAATAGCTCATCTTTCGAACTCGTAGTATATGTAAAATTGTTCTTGGTGAAAATATTGTTTTTGCTATAGGAGGTTCGACGGGTTACGGTGGCTCTCTATCAGAACAACCATCAACAAACCACGTTAGTGCACAACGGGGTGCACCAAATGGAATATCTGTGAATACATCCAATCTTATGCTACGAAGTAATTCATCTATAATTGAGACCGACGCGGGTAAAATTATCTGTGTAGCAGATGTTAGAGGTATTTACTTCATTTTATTTAATCTATTTATTCTATGCTGGTATTAATGAAATTTATTAATAATTAAACAGGAAATATTTCTCAATTGAATAAACTTGCTGAAGAGACTGGGGCTATGGCTATTATTCATTCCGGTGACTTTGGATTTTATGGTAAATTTAATTTAATTTATATTTAATATTTATATTTACCTTATTAATGTTTATTTACTCGAGAATTTTTATTTTATAGAAAACAGTAGTCTAGAGAGGATAAGCGATAGGTATGATATAATCTGCTGTTTTTATGAGGCTCTATCAGCTTTAAATTATTCATTCTGATATTAAAATATGTTATTTCATTTAGGACATTACGTCATCTAGTGCAATATAGCACAATTATACCACAAGACTTGCGAAGCAAGCTTCTCCATCCATCCACATCTCTCCAAGAATTACGTAATACTATACAGCACTCTGAACACCCTCTTTTATCCGAATTTCCTCTCTTTAGAGAAGGAGTAAATCGCCTTAGCGTTCCTGTATATACTGTATGGGGCGCTTGCGAGGATGTCGCCGTACTAGAAAAGTTTAGAGAGAAAATATACAAGGTGCATAATCTGCATATTTTAGACGAAGCTAATTCCCATCTCATTGAAGTTGGTGGCGTTAGTTTACGGTTATTTGGCTTAGGTGGTGCTGTAGTTCAACATAAATTATTTGACAACGGACAAGGTTAGTAGTATTTGGTGTTCGGTAATTATTTCACTTGCTGCTGAAATATTAAACCTGTACGAGTGTATGCTACTAGTCAAACAAAATCTATACACTTAGATTATATATATAAGCATATATATATATAAGTCAAATTTATACATACACATGTACTTTGGTGTTATGCATTTAAGCAGCTTATACATATATATTATAGATAATATATACTTTATGAACTTGTGCAAGTTTGATCGTATATTGTTTCTAATACGTTTATATCATAACGGACAATTTCTTATTTCAATAAAGGTTCAGCTACTATTGCCGGTGGTCATGGCACTATGTGGACAACAATTCTGCAAATTGGCGAATTAGTTGAAACTGCACAAAAAGTAAGCGGTGATATATTTAGATTTACTGTCAGAAGACTAACGGTCTTAAAAAAACTTTATATTAGGTATTTGACCAATCTGAAACTAGGGTTCTCGTAACCCACGCTAGCCCTGGTCGTGAAGGTCTTTTAACACAATTATCGGTCGTATTGCGCGTAAGTCATTCATGAATATTATATAAACATTAAAAACATGAATTATTAATTTAAATTGATTATTTTTTGAAGGCCGATTTTACGATCTCAGCAGGACTTCATTTTCGTTATGGTATTTCATATAATGAGTTTTCAGTACAAAGAGATGCAGAGGCTTTCCGTATTAAGTTAGAAACCTCACGCAGAAGTTTTTATGAGATGTGGGAATCAGTTAAAAATCAAGTTGAAAGTTATATTGAGTAAGTCATCAATAATGTTTGAAATTACAAGTAAAGATCTGGTGAAATTAAATTATGGTAGTGAAGTAATTTCACCATTGTTGGTTGAAATTGGTGAAATTTGGTGAAATGAATTTCACAAGTTTTGCTTTTTTAATGCTGATTATATGATACCATTTTTGATGTTTAGCGATCAGCAGAAAGTATTATTACAAAATGCATTCTCTGTTGTTGATCGAGTCCCAGCTCAAGGAAAGGAAGAACCAGTTTTTAGAAATATGTGGAATTTCAATTTACCCGATGCTGCCTATGGTTGGGTACTATTGGATATTAAAGATGGAAGAATATCCGCTGAAACTAAAGCACAAGGTTTAGTGCATTATTATTATTTATTTATTGTTTGTTATTTATTTTCTTAGATTGTTTATTTATTTGCTTATTGTGCTGCATATGTTGAAACTGGCTGATGCTTAAATTTGTGATCCCAATTAATTAAATCTATAATAAATATTACTAAAATCTACATATACTCTTTTATTGACAACTCTAATCATAAACACTTAAATTTTCATAATAAAATATTCAAAATTTCAGCATCAGCCATCAGCTGCCATATTTATTATCATTATTTTCAAATGCGCTTTTACTAATATGATATTTATTACGAATAATAAAGGTTTCAACTTCGCTTATCGAAAAAACAATATGCAATCAAATAATTCAGCCCTTGGTGGATCACAAACATCCGAAATTGGGGCACCTACGAGTCCATGCAGTATGGATAGAAATAGACGTCAACAGTCTAATTGGCAGCCTTCACCTGCTCTTCCACCTCAACCATCAAATGGTGGTGGTTCGATGCCGTCCCCAATTTTAACACCACAAAGATCTACATCACCTGAAACAACACCCAATCTTTCTAGCGATTGGAAAAAACCATTACCTGATTCAGCAACAGCGAATGAATGGTCGTCATCATCAAAGGGTGCCGTTTCTTTAAGTCAAGATCATATGGAACGCCCATCAAATATTCTTGGTAGTGATACTAGTAGCAACGACGATAATGATATAATCAACTCCACCAATTCAGGACATATTAATGGTAATTCTTGGGCTGATCGAGCACAAAATGAAACACCTAATTGGGAAAATAAACCAGAGTTGACTGATTCTCCTCAATCACAAGAAAACGGCGATGACACAAATAACGAAGATGATTTGAATAATGATAATGATAATAATAATAATAATAATAATCAATCTCAGCAGCAGAACCGTAATCAACACAATCGTCGTAATAACGTAGATATACGTTTAGTTATATGTTGCTTTAAAAAAAAAGATTCTATACTAATTTGGCTGTTTTTAATCGATCGCAGAAAAATCCATTCAAAATTTATGTCGGTAATTTGAACCCACCTGTATCTGATGAAGACTTACAGAATTATTTTGAGTCGTTTGAGTGTCAGGTGATTTGCGATTTGCACTATTCATGTCCTACTTGTAATTTTGAAGAAATGAGATCTTAACACTTTTCACACATTACAGGTTGAGAGGGTTCAGTTGAACTTTGATAATAATAAAAATCAACTTAATCACGCATATGTGGTCTTCCAGGACGAATCATCAATGGAAAAAGCAGTTGCATTAAATGGCAAGGTATTTAGAAATTTTTTTTAGTAACCATTTTTCATATCTAATCTTATTACCTGAGTAATATTAATATATATTTTTAATACTATCGCTATTGCAATTGAAGCCATTTGGAGGAGAAAATGGTAATTTATTAAAGATTAACCAATACTTTGAAAAACGATGGTACGGAGGTCGAGGTCGAGGACGCGGACGCGGACGTCACAACCACCGAGGAGGATATCGTGGTGGCCATGGAAATAATTCACAAAATAATACTCAGAACGGAAACGGAAATCAATGATTGGTTTAAAACAATTTTTTTTTATTTAATATATATTTTATATACTATACATAAGTTTTTTCTCTTTTTGTATATTGATTGATTATTGTTATATATATAATTTATTATACTCTATTTTTTAACCCCGTTATTCATATTTTCTATTTCTTTGTATAATGTAGTGTTGATAAATATTGAATTTTATAGTTTGGCAAATATTTGATACTTTATATTATTATATTAGTGATAGTTCTATATTTACAAATTATTATGAATTATGATGGTTTTTATACGGAATACATTGATACATTATTTACTCGTATCAATGGTACTTATCAATATATATAATTATGTATATATATATTTAGATAATATCAACCCAAGAGTTTCTTTGGGAAAGAGAATGGGACAAACACATTACACAAAATGTACAACCTTTAAGGAGAGAGTGCATGCATTTTTGGAGATATAAAAAAAAAAAAGCTATTTTAATCAAGATCAATACCAGATTATTAAATAATTTATTTTAAAAAAATCTTTTAAACCTGATTTTTATTTATTTATCGTTATATGTATAATTTCAATTAGTTTTTTCACGCATATTTCCTATCTATTGTATTGGTAAGCGGAAATATAATTAGTCACATGTGCATGACATTTACTATATAGATATAAACCCGTTGCAAGTGCGTGTGTAGAAGCGTAAGCGTAACTATCAATGATGCACGTTCACAATTAGTGTTAGTATCGAATATATCGATATATTCAATACTTTGTCAGAGGTAGCCACGCATGTACGTACGTACGTATGTACGTGTATTGTGATGTCGCATATAACTCACCGGTGAATATTATTTAGGAATTATAATACTATAGTAATCGATGACAAATGCTTGTTGGTTCAAAATGAATTTAAAGAAAAAGGAAACTGGTGTGTTGCTCAACATACTGACACATTCTATAATATAAACTGAACGGGAAATTCTTACAATAGTAGTTTTTTACTATGAACAAAAAAAAAGGTGACTGGAACTATAACTTGACCTTAAAATAGCAGCACAGAAATTGCTGCTTCGTGTCGAATGGTGTTTGGTGAATTTCAGTAATGCTATCTATTAATTGGAATTGTTCACCAAATTGTGCACTTAACGATTCAACATCATACCGAACAACTTCAAGACCACTGCACTTCTCCGGTCCTTGCGGACCAAAAATAGATATAATAACATGGCCACCTAATTTCATGGCAAGGGTTACTTGTCTCACGTAGGCTGCGCGTTGTTCAGGGGTATTCAGAAAATGAAATAATCCTCGGTCATGCCAAACTTCATAATAATGTTCCGGAAATTTCACTTGAGTTATGTCATCTATAAACCATTTTACATTTTCTGCTGCTTTACCAAGCCGTTCCTTAGTTCCATTAATCGCAGTTTTTGAGATATCAAGAACGCTAATATTCTGATATCCCCGTGCAAGCAAGTCATCAACCAAAGTTGATTGACCACCACCCACATCAATAATGGATAAGTTTTGACCTTGAGTTGCTTGTTCAATGAATCTCAGCGATGTTTCAAGATGTAGGCAATACCAGCTTACAGCATTCGGTGCCTTCGTCTTGTACACCGTTTCCCAATGATTCTCAACACCATTGTTTGTCGATGAAGTGATGGTATTAGTAGCTATACCAAGCGACATAATGATCTTTCTTGCCAAGTTTCCTGAATATGCAATATTTATAAATGTTTAATGTTTGTGTACAAGTTATATTAAATTTGGATTTTAATTTAACGTCATTGATGTTTTTTGATTGGTTTTTTTTTACGCATTCAATTAGTGACCAAAATTGATTATTTGATAAAACATTAAAGTGACATCAGACTTTAACGTTAATGTAACCTGTACACAACTTACACAACCACTAAACATTTATAACTTGTATATTCAGGAAGCTTGGCAAGAAAGATCATTATGTTGCTTGATATAACTACTAATACCATCACTTCTTCATCGATAAACAATGATGTTGAGAATCATTGGAAACGGTGTATAACAGTCAGGGAAGTCACCGGATGATAAATTATAATAAAAAATTATAATAACGATAAAAACATACGTGTAAATTTACTACATATAAACTTAAGATCCTTTTCAACTTACAAATTAACATATTTTCAAATTTGGGATTAAATTTATGGGGAAATTACACATCGGGACCCAAATTTGAAAATAATTATGAATGAGGGCCCAACTTAAAAATATTTATTTATAAAGGCCTAA